CAGGAGAGAGGCCCTACAAATGCAATGTGAAGGGATACACATGGGAATTCGCCCGTTCAGATGAGCTCAAGAGACACAACAAAAAGCACAGTGGGGAGCGACCCTACCTGTGTACTCTGTGTGACAGGCGTTTTGCACGATCTGATCACTTGAAGCAGCACCAGAAAGTCCACCAGTGACTACGAACCTGAATCCATCAGCCCATGAGGAAGCAAGATTCTCCCTAAGCCTTTGTTTGCTTAGCACCTAGCATTGTGCCACCACATTGTAGGTGCTTCATATTACTTGTAAACTTTTAAGGTTTTTATTTTTTATTTTCTAAAACATAGAAGAAATAGCCCAGCTGGTGTGGCTCAGTGGTTGATTGTCGATCCATGAACCAAGAGGTCACTAGCTTGATTCCTGGTCAGGGCACATGCCCGGGTTCAGGGCTCTATCCCAGTGGGGTGCGTTCAGGAGGCAGCCAATCAATGATCCTCTCTTATCATTGATGTTTCTATCCCTCTCTGCCTCTCCCTTTCTTGCTGAAATCAATAAAAATATATTTAAAAAAAATAAAAATAATAATAATAAAAAAAAAAAAACAGTAAGCACCAGAAGTCTTGGAGAAAACATGAGAAATGTTGACCTGACCTAGTAAAACCATAAACATAAGGCTACTGAACACAACTAAATCAATAAAAATATATTTAAAAAAAATAAAAATAATAATAAAAAAAAATAAAAAACAGTAAGCACCAGAAGTCTTGGAGAAAACATGAGAAATGTTGACCTGACCTAGTAAAACCATAAACATAAGGCTAGTTCTGAACACAACTGCTGCTCTGCAAATTTTGGGGTAAGCACTTAAACTGAGTGCTGTTTGTGCTCCTGTCCTTGACCTGATGTTAAATAGGAGCTTGAACAAAGGTCAAAGGAACAATCAACCTATTTGGAACAAGAAAAGGAGGGTTAGAAGTGCCAGGTGCGCCTACCTACAGCAGTCTCACACTGCAGCCCTAACACCCCTGGCACTGCGTGCGGGACGACCCCCACTTAGTCTGTGGCTGTTGTCTGGGAGCCTGGCAACAAAGACTAGGGAGGAAAGCTCACACTCAGGAAAGCTTTTAGAGACTGACCACGGGGGTCGACTCCATTTCCGCAAGAGCTACTGTAATTCCAGCCCTGGCCGGGTAGTTCAGTTGGTTAGATAGGCCAAGGTTGCAGGATGCTGGTCAGGGCACATACAAGAATCAAACAATGAACGCATAAATAAGTGGAACAAATCAATGTTTCTCTTTCTCCCTTCCACTCCTAAAGTCAATAAAAAAAAAATTTTTTTTTTTTTTTTTAAAAAGCTACCATAAATCCACCCAAAAGACCCATGGGCTGTAAAAAGGCGAGGTTAAAAACATGGAAGTTTATTGTAGGATACAGACAATGGAATGTCAGCGCCTGAACATCCATTGGTTCTCACATCACGCATGATTTGCATTTAAAAATTGCTCCCAGCAAAATTTGATTGATCATGATGCTTTCTTTTGTTTCTTCTTTTCATTTTCTTCTTTCTCTTTTTCAATTTCAGCCACATATTTCTCGATTTCTTCAGGATTTAAAATCTACCAAAGAGAGTGTTTCTGGTTAGCCCCTCAGCCTAAGAGGTGCCCCAGTGCAGTAAGGCCCCCACAGGGAGGGGGCTCCTGGACGCCCTAAAGCTGCTTCTGCAGGTCGACAAGGCCATGTGGCCTGTGTGGGGATCAGTGAAAAGCAGAAGCCAACCTGCACAGCTGCTGACTGCTTGTCCGCGTGCCAGGAGCACACGCGATCACCATCTGTGAACATGCAGTCAGCCCTGGCGTGCTTGTGTCCCACCCGTTTGTGGGGAGCCTTGCCTGGTGCTAAAGCCACAGCAGCATTAATGAGCACTGCCCT